TAAAATGGCATGTCACCTTGAGACGGTTGATTTGAGTGTTTGAAGAGTCACGGGATGGGATTAAACCCATTAAGAATCCTGATAACCCACTAAGAGTGAAGAAAAAGAAATGCATTTCAATGCTAGAGCTAAAAATTGCTTGTTTGAATCTTTTAGCATGGATGTCTTTAACCAAGTATTCACCTTAAATACAACACATGAAATTTAGTTAAAACTCCAAGAGCTCCATGACGGCACAAGTAATGTCCGTGAGTAAAAACATTGTCTAGCTAAACAAAATTATGACTCCTTTAAAATGAATGATGATAAGCTTGTTCGTGATATGTATTCTCGCTTGAATCTAATTATCAATGAGCTTCATTCAATAGGATTAACAAAGCCAGATGATGTGGACATCGTGAGGAAGATCATCTCTGTGCTACCACAAAAGAAGTATGCAAGCATCATTACCATTCTCCACAACATGGAGGACTTGAGTAACATGACCCCGGCCATGGTGATTTGCAAGATAGTGGCATTTGAGATGCCACGCAAGATGGGTCAAGAAGCCTTTTCATCTAGCAAAGGCAAAGCTCTCACATGTGATGAGCACAGGAAAATAACGGGCAAGCAAGTGGAGACAAGCTCAAGCTCAAGCTCCTCAAGTGAAGAAGAGGAAGAAGTTGAGGTTGATGATGATGAAAAATCAAGTGATGATGATCAATCTTCTTTCTCCACCTTCGACCTTGATGAAAAATCAATCAAACTTATCAACAAGGTGGAGAAGATGATTCAAAGGCTCAATGTCAAGAGTGTGCCTATCCAAATTCAAGATTTCATATTCACCAATCAAAGAAATGAGCAAAGAAAGAAAGGATGTTATAGATACGGCGAGAAATGACACTATTGAAGTTTGTCCAAACAAGCCCACACCCAAGACAAAGAAGAAGGCATGCAAGGACAAAGCCCTCACATCAATAAGGTCATGGGATGATTCTTCAAATGAAGAAGAAGACCATCACAAGAGACCAGGGCACAAACACTCATCATCAAGCACTTCACGTGTGCCTTATGGCACGAGGTAACACAAAGTCTATCCTTAGTGATTGTGACAATAATAGTGATAGTGATGATGAGCTACCATCTTATGATAAAATTGTGCAAGAAAATCTTAACTTTGCTAAAGTTTGTACTAGTCAACAAAAGAAGCTTAAAATATTGAAAGAAAAATTAGATAGCTCACAACAAGCTTATAAAACTTTGCTTTAACAATATAAAACATTTGCTAATCTTAATGTGGAGCTATCTACTAAAATTGAGCGACTTGAGGCTAGTGCAAATACAAATGCATGCACAATCAGTGATGAACAAGTTGTAAAGAAAAATAAAAAATTAAAGAAAAAGTTATCTAGCTCACAAGATGCTTATAAAAATTTACTTGCTAAAATAGAAACCATGTGCAAACATTGTGATGAGCTAACTAATAAAGTTGCTAATCTTGAAGCCGTCGGTATAACCCCCACCAAGGCACCTAAAAAGAATAGTTCAATCTTTGAAATGTCTAAAAAGAATGCTTCTACTTTTTGCAATGATTTATGCTTAGACTCACCCTTTTGCAACCAAGTTTGTTTTGAGAAAGTTGTTGTAAAAACATGCACACAAGAGATCGCATTGGAGAATGAGCAACTCAAGCAAGAAGTAGCTCGCCTCACCAAGGATTTAACTCAAGTGCAAGGCAAGATGGAGCAAATCTAACTTCATTAAGATAACACCGTTAAGGGAGTGAAGCTTGATGAAGGACAAACCGCAAATCCTATGAGTGCAAGGTGAAGAATGAGGAAGGAGCTAAAAAGAAAGAAAAAAGAAAAAGCAAATAAGTAAGCTCTCCAACACCTACACCAACAAGGTGGATAAGAAGGCCTCCACACCTTACTCTTGAAGAAGAAAAAGAATAACAAGGTGGTGGCCATTAAGGTGAACAAGCAAGCCAACAAAGAGGGCAAACATATTTGGGTGCCAAAGGAGAAGTGAGAAGTCCGATGGACTTCGGGAAATTTAGAGACATAGCATAGTTTGGGTGCATTTCTTGGGGTGCATCATGATGGACAAGGTAATTGCCAAGTTGGTTAGTGTAAATTTTGGACCCAAATTCTACTTCCCATGTTAGGTAACTAGATTTATACTCTTGCAATTTCAATTAGCATCTAGTTCCTTTTCATGCCTAGATTTGCATTTAAATGTTTAATCTTTTATCATGCATACAATAGGTAAATCATATGGTAGGGTTGCTCGGTTTCACTTTTAACCCTTGGAGCAAACCTATATGGTTTAAATTGTTTAGAAGTACGACAGATAGCTTTTTCTTCAAGTGTATCTAATTTGTGCCAAAGTCTAAATTGTAGATAATTTTCCCCGAATATCACTTTTAAAAATGATTCTCAAATTCATATGATGTCATCTTTCAAGTGGTATCTTTGATTCTAAAAATCAATGTATATGTCCCCTACAAGTATTTCATGCTTGTATGTACAAATTTAGGGAAGGTTACTCTATAAGTTGGATGCTTTGAGACTAACAATATTTTAAGCTTATCATGTGTGTAGTAGTCTCGTTGCAAGGAAAATGGAGTCCCTAGAGATAAGCATCATGCTTAAAAAATCCACCACCTCTTTGCAAGTGGTGTCAGTCATTGGTTTCTACATGTGGTACTTCTAAATTGACATCATCATGTTGACTTCAATTTGGTATTTTTATGCTTTCTCCGTGCATTATATAGATTAAACTCTATTGTGCATTAATTTGCCAATTATGCATATACTTCACCCTCCACCATATGTATGCATATTTTTAGGGAGAGCTTAGTCTATGTAATGTGAGAGTCAAGTTTTATGATCTATTCTACTCCACAACAAAAGATCACAAAATTTGACCATTCCTTGTGCTATTAATGTCTTCCTTTTCGGTGTTTGATTCAAAGGGGGAGAATCTGTAGGACCAAAAGCAAGCTCAACAACAACACCAAAAAGCAAGCTCGATCATAACAAATTACAAGTGGTAATGGTCCGAGAAAAGAGAATAGTGGATTATGGAGTTAGGGAAGGTTTAAATCCATAATGCCACATGGGGACATTTACAAGGGCAAGATAAGTTTCTAAAGTTTTTTCACAAGTGGTATTCTTTAGTATCATATAAACTTGTCTTTGCATTGTATCCTAGGAAGTAGATAGTTTTTAAATTTTTGCATCTTTTATTATTTGCTTGCTTTGGTCATATTGTTATCAATCACCAAAAAAGGAGAGATTGTAAGAAAAATGGACTCTAGGCCCATTTAGTGTGGATTTTGGTGTTTGATGAACAACATGACCAAATTGGACTAATGTGTTTGCTAGTGTTTATTTTATAGTTCAATAGAATGCAACGCGGACTTGGATCAAGCTTGGAACATAAAGAAAATCATCAACACTCAAATGAAGACCTTGGAGGAGGTGTTGATAGCTTGGAAGTGAAGCAAGAAGTCCAAGACGCAAAGATGTCAAAGCCCGAACAAATCCACGCGAAGAAACGGAAGCAGACGGTGGCTGAGTGGGCACTGCCACCATAGGACGGTGCCAGCAGAAAAGGGCTGCTGGAGCTGGAAGAAGAGGGGGGCACTGGACAGAACCATGTGCACCTCTCTAGTCACGGCCATGGGGAGGCGGTGCACCGGACAAGGGGTGACGGTGCCACCGCCCTAATTATCCAGAGAGCAGCGAGTTAGGACTTGGGCACCGCCCTGGTCACCATCCTCAGGGTGGCGGTGCACCGCCCTGATGAACAATACCCCAACGGTCGGTTGTCAGTGACCAATGGCTAGCTGACGTGGCTGGCACCGCCATGTCCAGTGCCCACGCAGAAACGTGAAGCTCGGCCCCAACGGCTATATCTCCACTTGTGGGCTATATATATGTGCCTCCAATCGGCCATTTGGAGTGTGTGGGAGCTGAGGAAAGATAGGAGGATGTTGCTACACCTCTTTTGTGCTCTCCACATGCATAGAGCTTAAAGATCACTTGATGATTAGCATAGGTGCTTTGCGAAGTTCTTAGGTTAGTTAGACCACGCTCATATACGCTTGCTCTAGGCTTAGGTCTAGTTGCTAGTGAGGTTTGCGTACCTCTAAACCCAAGGTGCTTGCGCGCACTGTGTTTGTACCCGGCGGGGCTTGTAGTCTTGCGAGACCACACCAACCGCGCTTGTGGTGTGGCAGCCACCGTGTATCGAAGGAAATAAGGCCCGACGTTTGGGCCGAAAGCTTGATAGTGAAGACGGCGTGAAGCGGTCCGGGAGAGGCACACCGGAGACCCACTTATGCGTAGGGAAGGCCCAGGGCAATCCACGGAGTTACCCGACTGGGAGCTTGGCCCTTGCGAGAGATTCTCTGCGAGGGGCTCCAACGAGGACTAGGAGAAGCTTGAGCGCTTCTCGATACCTCGATAAAAATACTAGAGTCATCGACGGGAGTTAGCCTCTTTACCTCACCTTTACCTTCCGCATTTATTTTATGTACCTCGGTTGTGTGCTTACTTTCATAGCATAGTTTGATAGGCTAGTTGATAGGATTAAAACCTAAGGTGCATAACTCTTTTGCGATAGAGATAGCTATACACCTAGCAAAACCTTGGTTGCACACTTAGATTACTTTCTTGCATAGGTTTTGACTAGGTGGAATTAGAGGCCATAGTAAGAAGTGGATTGTTAAGTTGTCTAATTCACCCCCTCTTAGGCGTCACGATCCCTTACAATGTCACCTGCATTAGTCAGCACCTCACTCCCAATCTGCACTTCCCAAATCGAGAAAATAGAATCTCAGGCTTCCCCTAGTCACCTGCTCATTGTTGAAGTCACTTAGAGCATAGAGTAACACTTGACTGTAAAAAGAGTAGAGGTTATAAACACATTTTTGGTGTTGGGACACAAATAAAAATTGCCACCAGATTACTAATAACTTGCCAGACTAATGATATTAAATTGCTTAACTAAATTTACATGCACATTTTTTTGGTGGTACTATCATGCTCGTCTACACTTTCATCTAGCCTGCTGCACACTACACCTTTGCTGCAGGTCAACTTTGCTGCCTTCTCTATCTACAGTAACAGCATGGCAGTAGTATGGCAATAAGTAGTGGCCGATCTCAGCCCGATACTACCCAACTATAGCTAGAAGTGGCTACAATAGTAGCAGGTGCCCTAGATGTGGTTACAACTTGTTCAGCAATGGAAAGCAGTTTAGTTTGCTGCACCAACAGAGGTGTGCTCGTGCTGCATTATGTGCTCAAGTTCATCTTCTACCTCTAATTGTAAGCTGTGAGAGGGTGATTGTAACGTGATAAATAAATTTCACATACCTTGCGCCATGGGTGAGCTTTGATATGAGGAAAATCTAAACTCGGTGTACGATTCATACATCGGATTTCCTCACGTGTTGGAGTACCGAGAACCTGTCAGCAAAAAGCAAATCCATTCAATACATGGAAATAGAAAAACACTAGTTAGCACATTTCTTTAGAACTAATATAGTGCAGTCCGCAGAACAACCAAGTACTTTTATTATCTCAACAAGCTTATCCACAACATTTCTGATAATTTTAACAAAAATATGTTCAGTTCTAAGTTTGTTGCCCAGATGGATACATAACCACAGGAAATATGTGGGAAAAGCAGAGAAGGGGAACTAACCCACAGGAAATCTGTGGGAAAAGCAGAGAAGCGAAACTAACCTGCAATCTAAGAACAGAAAAAACAAAGAGAGATTAGAGAAGAATGATGTATTGCCTAATGATTTGAATTATTTTGCTTTGATCTTGCCACAATATTGCCTGGTCAGCGTACATTTAGTTTCTTATTTCCAATGAAGTTCAGTAACTAATCAATGCACATGTACATTTTGTTGCTCTAAAATGCTGATTATTGACACCTCCATAAAACCTAACACCACAACCATTTCAAGAATCAACCATCAACAGTCACTAGGCACTGCTCCAAATGTGAGAGAGCCCCAAAACAAAATGAGAATCAACGTCTCCAATGGAGCAGAAATACATTCAAGTCCACGACATATCAGCTAGCCTATCAACAGGAAGATAGCAATAATTTGCAAGGATCAGGACACACCTGGCCCCTCTTGCAGTTGAAGGATCACTATCTCATCTTCGATCACTTGTGGCTATCAGAAGGGATTTCTTAGTTTAATTTCTCGGGTTCAAGTAGAGTTCTACTTATTTGGCATATCAGAACCAGAAAAATGTCCTCATTAGAAAAATATGGAGTATTTCTACTGAGAACATGGCAAGCCGCTGCTCAAAACCTAAAGAAAACAGAGCTAAGCTATGCAGTGCCAAAATGCTGCGGCTTATGCTACCCAATAGTGGCCTAGCTGAGTATGATCTGCAGATAAGAACTGAAGCAACAAATCAACAGAGGAAGGAGGGATCCGATAAAGCACAGCAAGCTGCATTTCTTTTAGACAATTTAAGTTTCATTCGTTAGGCAACAATGTCTTCTAAATAAGCAATTTGTGTATTCTGAAAAAGCAAGTATAGTGTGCTGCACCATATCTAGTAGACTCGTAGATAAGAAAATGACCAATCATTGGTAGTCACCTTTCACATACACCATATCTAGTAGACTCGTAGATAAGAAAATGACTTGCTACTACTAAATCACAGATGCAACAGAATGGTCCATTGCCAACGTACCAAGCTAGCTTGCAAAATACAAGATACTGCAACTTCTGCACATTGGCCGGTATCTCATTGGCAATGTCTCGGTCGATGATGGGGAAGAATGGTGGCCAGTTCTCCTCCATCGGCACGCTAGCTGCACCAAGCAAAATTGGGGGAAATGCCAATGATCACACATCAGTATTCAGTCTAAACAAGTGACAACTCAAACACCACTGACAATTTGAATAGGTAGCAAATAGGTGCAGAGATTTGCAATTTTACATCGGCACAAGTATTTGGGATTTGTATGGGCATAAGTAATAGAAGCAAAGTAAACATTATTGCAGATTCACAGTACTAAATAGCCATTTAATTACATGAGCTTGGAATGTCCTTGTGGTATTAGAATTCATCAGCTTTTCCTCAATAGGTTTTTTAATAGTTTCAATAATACGTACTTGGTTCAAGAGTCTAACCTGAAAGGCAAAAGTATTAAAAAAAAGTATCCAACCATTTGTTCTCTAATTGGAAAAATTAAAAAGAAAGAAAATATTCTTGAACATTAGAAACAGAAATGTATACCCCTTTTCTGGTTGGCGGTATATTGAACATTAGAAATAGAAATGTCTCAAACCATTTGCTGGTGTTCAGCTTGCTTCTCCAGCAGGACTGGGACATATATGCAATAGCAGTGCGCTAGCTACCTGACCATATTTTTTTGAAGACATCAGTTTCTATACAGAATGCGTTAACTAATAAAGCCAGAGATTTTTTTTAGCATCTCGCTGCACAAACACCCAAACCAAATCCATGTTTTGAATCTCAGACCCTCTTAGCATTTTCTCTTTTGGTTCCAGACTGATCAATTACAACATTTCCATAGGCTCTTTTTAGTAAAGAGGTTATAGGATCTAAAGTAATCAACATGCAAGTAATAAAATTCCAATATCCGGTTTTGGTAATGTAAGACAGCAAAACTACATTTGAGATATCAACTTTGCTTCAAGCAGATTATCTAGATTCAGTGCTTGGAATTTCAGTACCCCAACTAACTGTAGCATCTGAATGTACATCTAACTAACTCTCCTATGATTGCATCAGAATCTGGCATCACCAACACGCAAGCTAAGAATTCACACCGAAGGCATTTCCTCTAATCCCCGATCGCAGTGTTGCTATAACTATAATAGTTCCCAAACCAAGTAGGCAAGTACAGACAGGCAAGAAAGACGTGCTCCTTTGTTCTCAATCAGTCAATCTTACTTCCACTACCGCCATCTATCCTACAATCGAGTAAATTTAAGCTATAGCCTGTACAACCGCGGCAGTAAATAGCCAAGGATACAGCAGTGATTCGAGAGCAGGAAACCGGGGAACTCACGCTTTGGTCGCGGCATAGACGGAGTAGAGCAGATCGGAAGGCACGACGGAGACGGCGCCGGAGCCGATGTTGACAATGGCGCCGCGCTTCCTCTCGACCATGCCTGGCAGCACGCCGTGCGTGACCTGCGTGACGCCCTCGACGTTGACCCGGATCAGGCTGCGCATCAGCTCCTCGTCCACCTCGTGGAAGTAGCGTGCGTAGGGGTAGTACAGCCCAGCGTTGTTGACGAGCACGCCCACGTGGAGGCCCCGGATGGACTCCTTGAGCGCCTCCACACTGGCCACGAGCCCCTCGCTGGAAAGGGAAGACGTGGCGCGGTCCGGCAGGACGGACGTGGTCGCGCCGTTGTGGGGTAGGGGTAGCGCCGTCGGGAGGTGGAGGGGTAGGGGAGGGGGAGGCGGGGAGGGGAGGGGTGACCGAGGCGACCGGTGGCTGCGGCGGTGACGGGGTGGTGGAGCACGTCGGGGCTAGGGTCGTCGACGCAACTAGATCTGGCTGGGGGGTAGTAGTAGTAGTAGAGGAGGAGGAGGAGGGCGGGGGAGGGGCCGGTGCCGGCGGCGGAGGGGTGACCGGCGGCGAGGTGGAGCCCGTCAAGCTAGGGTTGGAGACGGCGGGGTCGGGTGCCTGCGCGACTGAGAACTGGAGATGGAGACGGGATGGGAAGTGGAGACGAGATGGGAGCCGTGCCAAACAATTAAATCACGGCCGACCGGAAACAAGTCATTACCAATAATTAAACTAAAAAAGCAGTATATGCATTCACATGTGCGGTGGAATGATATACTATTCTTTAATCAGCCCTTTCGGTAGGTTGTCATTTGGTTTGGTGGTCTTTGGGCTTATCATTGACCGTTGCTCGGCATTTCAAAGATTACCTGACCAAATTAACGGCTGACTTATATCTGTTGCCGACTCACGTCCGTCACTTTCTCCCCTTCCTCCCGTCGCTCGCGGTGGCTAGGGTTCCACGCTCACGCGTCGCTCCTCGCCATCGCTCCGCACATTTACGGGCGGTAGCCTACGCCGCGTCAACGGCCGGCGTCGGTGGCCCCCGGATCCAGGCGCGGCCGCCTCTGCACTCCGTCCTCCTCGGCGGGGCTGCGGTGAAACTGTCGTCGTCCTCTTCCCCCACCCCGCCTCCATCGACGACGCCTTCGGCCAGGCAGGTAACCCGGATCCCACGCCTCCGTCCTCTTACCTGGCCGCCTCTGAGCCACAGCTGGTCGTGCTTGTAGTTTGACCTCCGCGCGGCTAGGGTTTCCCTCACTCTCGGCGGCCTCGGTGACAGTGGGCTCGGCCTCCCTCCCCGGACCCTGCCTCCAGCAATGGTGACTCCTTCCACCATGGTAAGCCCCCCCGGAACCCGACGCCGCGTAGTTTGACCTCGCCGGATCTGAGATCCAACATGTACTCATGCCTCTTTTTGTTCTATTATTACCAAACACTAAGTTTGATCTCCGCGTGGCTAGGGTTTCCCTCACTCTCGGCGGCCTCGGTGACAGTGGGCTCGGCCTCCCTCCCCGGACCCCGCCTCCATCAACGGCGCCTCCTTCCACCACGGTAAGACCCCCCAGAACCCGACGCCGCGCAGTTTGACCCCGTCGGATCTGAGATCCAACATGTACTCATGTCTCTTTTTGTTATATTATTACCAAACACTAAGTTTGATTTGTTTCCCTTGCTTTTTTATACCTGCTAAGTATTCTATAGAATGCAGTCTTAAACTCCTAATCAGTAGTGTATCTCCTGTGTCACTGTGTGCTTGCAAAGTATTAGTTGAGTGGCAGAACTAATGTCTTCAAACACTACCAGCAATCCATACGATTCCATTTCATTGAAGTGCTTTTTTTTGAACAATACTTGTGCTATTTTAGTATATGAGTAGGAGATAACATATATAAGTTTGCTAATATCATCATATGTTGATCATATTTTAAACTGGACCTGATTTAATGAGTTTCTTCTATACTTGTATATTGAATGCTAAGTATGGAGTGTTACAACTCATGTTTTTCATTGCAATCAGCATTCAGTTGGTTCATCAAAGTGGTTTGTTTTTCTTGAACAATTTTTACATAGTCTTTAGTAGGTGAGTTAGGTGATAACTGATAACTAGAAAATCCCTTGAGTGTTCATGCATTTTCAATAGGTCTAATTTTAGATATTTTATTCTAGATTTGTTATTAAATGTCTTCTGTACATGAAGACATGCTAGGTTAATCAGATATGTATGTTCGATGCACTTGTGTCATTTGATTCTCATGCATCTAGCTGTGTACTCATTTTGCTTCCATGGGCCAACTTTTACTAAGATTCCTGTTTGCTGTTATTGCGTTTTAGTAACTTATGACTTATAGGGCATATCTAATGGTTTGTCATCTTACAATTGTGCTCTATGATTGCACTGCAAACATAGAAGGGACGTTTCGTCCGGTTGTGATCAGCTGCTGCCCAAACTGGCAGCGTCGTCGGCTTCGTCTTGCTCTCCAACTGCTGCCAGGCACTACAACCTCCGCTCAAAACGCCGAAAACGGCCACAAAAGGCAAGTTTGGGATACTATTTGTCAATTTGCAGTTTGCATTTGGTGTTTAGTTGTCCTTTGCGATATCATTCTGTTGACACAAGCCACATGGCTGTGATTTCTATCTCTTTTTGTGTGTGTTGTCTTTGTTGTTGTCTCCTTTTTGTTCTCTATGTTCTCTGAGGGGTTGGCTGTGGTGGAGAATTAGCACAGTGCCAATTGATTCCTATATTTCATTTAAGGGATAAGTGTTCTAGTTATTTAGTTCTTTTGTTTGCTCTATGCTTCCTACACTTTCAGGCAACTAGTAGTATCCGTGATAGAAGAAAGCATTACGAATCAATTATTATATCTATACCAGCAGATTCTAGTACAATGCTCAGTTTTCAGTTCCCAACTGATTCTAATACACTGTCCTAATTGGTAATTACATTTTACGACTAGTGCATTACTAATAGCTTTGTTGATCCTTGAATCAGATGAGCCAGGACCGTGTTGTCTAGGATGATAGAGCAACCTCTTTGCTTCTTGACCTCATCATCCAGCAAAAAGAGCTCTGTCATTGGTCCTCTGCCCACGGTCCAACCTCACTAGGGTGGAGCAATATCGTTCATGACTTCAACAAAGTCACGGACCTTGGGTACAACAAGAAAACGTGCCAGAACAAGTACAATGAGCTAAAACGTTGTTACTTCAACTAGCGCGACGGCCAGACCCATACTGAGCTAGGCCATGACCTGCTGACTGGAGAGGTTACAGCTGACCCTGAGTGGTACGGCGCCAGCCCCGGGGTACTAACTACACACATTTCTTTGAATTTTTTGTAGCAATTAGGTTCCTACTAACTCAGTACTAACTTCGCCATCACTGCAACACGTGCAGGAAAGTAGCCAACCCGCTAGAAACAAGTTCAAACGGCCCCAATGCTGTGAGCAACTGATCACAATTTTGGGACGCACCCCACGTGACAGGGGCCAGTTGGTATCGGCGGGGGGCCATCGACCTGACAAGTCACCCAGTAATGCAAGCCCTCGCACTCCTCCATCCTTGTCGGATGAGCCGGTCGAACCACCTAGTACTCATCAGCCCTCCAAGAGAGTCCATAGGGAATTTTTAGTAAACAGTCCGCGCAGCAAGAAGAGTAGCCAAACTCCATCTGTAGAAGAGTGCCTTGAAGACCTCAGCCAATTTCTCAGAGAGGCTAGGTCTCAGAAGGCCCGTCGTAACAACGATGCTCGGGAGATGGCCCAAGTCCAAGACATTATACGGCAAGATGGTATTAGCGAGGCTGATGAAGTATTCATGCAAGCCCTGAACCTTTGCAGAGACAGGCTAAGTCGTCAGAATTTTCTAGGCATGACATCTAAAGAGGGCCGGCTGAACTGGATCAAAGTGACATGGGCCTTTGAGTGCTCCAACAAGTCCCAATGATCAACACAATCCATGTTTTTCTCCTGTTTGCGGATATCCACCATGTGCATGTTGAGTTCATTCGGTTTGTTGTATCGTTATGTTTGTTTTTTTTCGTATTACCAAAGACCATTGTGGAAAACTTAGTGCAAGTCGTTGTCTCGTGTTTTGAATAAAAAATTAGTGTACTGCATTAAGTGTTGTAAGACATTATGCATGTATCACTTTTCCCTTGTACATTCCAACCTGTTTTCAAGGGGCTACCTAGTTCAGGTATTGTCATATGTTCACTTAGTAGCACTTGATTTGTTCCTAATATCGGCATTATAGTCTATCTTATGTCTGCCCAATTGCAGGTAGCATCATGAGCAGCATGAGAAGCACTAACGAGTCGTCATACAGCGACACTTCCAGTGATGGACCGAGCAGTGTGACCGTGGCAAAGGTAGCATTTGTCCTGCTGAAAGGGCTTATGTCACAGCAAATGGCTGAGGTAAATCCTCCTTGTCCCATTCCTAAGCTAACGGGAGCCCAGTGGATGCAGCTTACACTAGCCGACCATACCAGATGTTTAGAGCATTTGCGCATGTCACCTGATGCCTTCATGCATTTGCATGAAACCCTGCTGCTGTTTGGGCTGCCAAAAATAGATAAGTGCACCTCGGTAGAAGCTTTAGGCATGTACATCTGGACCTATGCCCACCAATCGGCTAGTAGAGAGTGCAAGGATAGGTTTGAAAGGTCTTTAGATACAGTTAGCAAGAAGATTACAATAGTTGCCGAGGTAATGTATCGGTGGGCAGATACTGTTCTAGTGCCAACAGATAGGAACTATGCACGCGTAAGCCAAAAACTTGCTGCACATTCACCATGGTTTGATGGATGCATAGGTGCTATAGATGGTACACACATAAAGGTTGAGGTTAACCATGAAGCAAAGGCAGATTTCTACAATAGGAAAGGCGAAATAACAATTAATGTTTGTGCCATCGTGGATATGGATGGCCGTTTCACATACGTGGGGGCCAGGAAGGCGGGGCATGTCATGACATGGCGGTATTGAAAGACTGTCAGGACGACGCTTCGTTCCCACATCCCCCACCAGGTTCGTGATGCCTTGCTGTTGACATTCCTTGTTTGTTTGCTTGTAGTAGATGAATTGAAGCATACTTGTGTTCAATTTGCTAAGACAGCTAAAGGCTGTATACTGTCTCCTAACACAATTTGCAATTTGATTTCTCGCTGCTTTCATTGCTTATAGGCCGGTACTACCTGGCGGACGTGGGTTACAAGGAGATGGCAAGATACATGACTCCCTACAAAAACACAAGGTATCACATCAATGACTTTAGGGGCATAGATTTGCAGCAATTGCAGAGGGAGGAGAGATTCAACTACATTCATGCAAAGTTGCAGAATATAATTGAAGGAGGTTTGGGGTGTTGATAGAACGCTGGCATATTCTAGGTGGGGTGCCGTATTGCAGTAGGATGAAGCAGGCTATGATAATCATTTCATGCTTTGCTTTAGATAATTTTTTGTGGATGCGTAAGTATGGCGCAGATCCACCCTCGTACGAGGTGCCTGCGTGGGTTGACCTAAATCTAGGAACCCCTATCTCTGGACTTAGGGAGTTGATATCCATAGCGGTGTGGAGCGGTGTCTGATGTAGGTCAAGGCTGTTGTTTTAAGAACCAGTAGCTGTAGGTACAATTCCTTGGCAGTCTTGTCGTGTGCATGTGTAAGGTTGTGTGGGACTGTGTTTGTTTCAAAAAAATGTTTATGGGACTATCATATTGTGTTCATTGATGTATGACAAATTGTAGTGACAGAACTACAAGTACCAAGTTCTGTAGTGTTTGGTGATGTGATGTAATACTCTGGTTCTCAGAGGTATGATTTCATACTAGTTGGTACACTGTTTCTGTGATTCACCATGGGAAGCAGTGGAACAGATACAACTTAGGCTTGGCTTCATTCAAGGATTCTGTTCCTCAGAGGTATGATTTCATCATATTTGTTTTGTATTTGTTCATATGATCTCAAGGCGCTTCTCGAGG